AGGACGTCCTTCTTCACCCAAAGAGTGATTAACACTTGGAATTCACTGCCACAGGAAGTGGTGGTGGCTACAAGCATGGACGGCTTCAAAAGGGAATTAGATAAGCATATGGAGCAGAGGTCCATCAGTGGCTATTAGCCACAAGGTATAGATAGGGACTCTGGGGCAAGTGATGCTCTGTCATCTTGGTGCTTGGGGGGGGTCAACAGTGGGAGGGCTTCTAATGTCCTGGCCCCACTGGTGGACCTCCTGATGGCACTGGTATTTCTGGCCACTGTGTGATACAGAGTGTTGGGCTGGATGGGCCTTTGGCCTGATCCAACTTTGGCGTCTCTTATGTTCTTATGTTCTTATCTTCCCTGGGACAGAGGTCAGACTGACTGGCCTGTAGTTTCCTGGGTAATCCCTCCTCACTTTTTTGAAAATTGGGATAGCATCTGCCCTCATCCAGTCTTGTGGCACGTCTCCCATCCTTCAAGAGGTCTGGAAGATGATGGACAAAGGCTCTGCAAGCTCTCTATAAAGTTCTTTGAGCACTCTTGGGTGCATACCATCTGGCCCTGGGGATTTGAACTCATTCAGTGCAGCCAGGTGCTTCTCAAATACCTCTCTGTTGGTGTCAACCAGCAGCCCAAATGCTTTGACTTGCCTACTACCATCTCTAGAAGAGCCTATTCTGTTGTTCAGGGGAAAACTGAGGCAAAATAGGCATTGAGCCTTTCTGCTTTTTCTCTTTCCTCCATCAGAGTTTCTCTATTTTCAGGTTCCCCCCAGCCACTGGCCAGATCCAGGTTGGGAAATTCCTGGAGATATGGGGGTGGACTCTGGGGAGGACAAGGACCTCAGTGGGGTTCAATGCCCTAGAGTCCACCCTCCAAAGCATCCATTTTCTCCATGGAAAGTTATCTTCATAGTCTGAAGATGAGCAGTAATTCCAGGGGATCCCCAGGTCCCACCTGGAGGCTGTCATCCCTAGGCAGCACCTTCTGGGTTACTTCATACCACCTGACTTGTATGATTCAACTAGGCCTGGCTGCTTGCTACTCTTTAACACCAGCCATCCTATGAAAGCCAATGTGGCAGCCCTGTAGCTAACAACTTTGTGCTCAGGGGGCCAATGTTTTTCTCGGGGCGCCTGCCATTATATGTCTGTGTGGTACTGCCATGCCATGCTCATACTTCTAAATAATATCTAAATAATAAATAAATGCAATAAATAATAAATAATAATACTTGCATTAAAGTTGTGAGTGAGCAATTTGGCTGCTGCATAAATTAGTTTGTTCTGGAGCCATTCCTCCTGAGCTAAGACAAAAATGGGTGAGCCAGAGCCTAAAAAACTGTGAGCTAGCTCACACTAACCCAGCTTAGAGGGAACACTGGTGGGGACTCAGGCTCCGCTCCTCTTTCTGTTTGTCCCCTCATCCTGCTGAGGGTGTTTCCAGGGGGCCTTCTTTGGCACAAGGGGGTCCAATCGAAATGGAGGGGGGGATGTAGCCATCGCGAGCCCCCAACTGGGTCTCGGGGGGGGGGGAGTCTAAGGAGCAGCACAAGAAACGAGAAGCTGCTGGAGTTGGACTGATTTTCTCCTCTCTGCTGCTCCGGTGGCATTCTGGGGCTCTTCATGGAGGAGAGATAGAGAGAAAAGGAGGGGCAGAAGGGAGAAAAAGTGTGAGAGAGGTAGGAGGGGAGGGGAGGAAGCAAAGGTGTGAGGAATGGGATAACTGTCCCACAAGCTTCTTGTGGGTCCCCACTTGTACCTCTGAATGCCACTTGCTGAGAGCAACATCAGGATCCTATGTGCTCGTGCCTGTTAGGTATTCAGCTTAGCTGTTGTGATCCAGCAGGGTTTTTATGTTTTTCAGTGTGATTTGACATGTAGCATGCAGCTCTGTTCACCTGCTTGAGAGTTGCATGCGCTTCTAACCTTTGCTTTGTGTTAATGGTACATTTGTGGTATGAGTTATGTTAGGTTGATTTCTGATGGTCTGATTCAATGCATGGATGGTTTTGTCCATTGGCAGGGCCAGCAACCAAGATTGCTTTTCAGAGCTCAGTACAAGTTGGCATACTTCTATGAAGTGCCAATGGAAGAAATGCAATGGAAGAAAAAAAAATCTTATTTTATTTCTCAAATGAACATGTCCTTGTAGTGGGTCTGGAACCTGAGCAGGGTACTCCTGGACTTCTGATAGAGTCTGTGCATTTTCCTCCCCATGTTTGCACCCCAGACATAGGGATACCATTCCCTAGGTGGGGGCAGGGGATCCTGTGCTTTTGTGGGCTCCTGCCCACTGCTGGCCAGATGGCTGGCAGGAGGAACTCCACTCCACCCCAAATTCGTGCGTGATCTGCTGATGTCCCCCGGAAGTGACATCAATGCGTCAGTGACTTGGGGGTGGTGGCGATGCTCTGCTTTTTGGGCAAGAGTCTATGGCTTGAGGCCATTTTTACCTCAGAGTTTGTCCAAAAAGCAGAGTGTTGCCCACAACACTGCAGACATCACTTCTGGGTAACATCAGTGTGTGACACGATGTCCCTGCCCACTCCTAGAATGCCCTCCAAATCCCACTGCTGGCATGACCAGGGGACCTGGCAACCCTAGGAAGACATCTGCCTAACACCCTGAACAGCCACTGCCAGTCTGAGTAGACAATACTGACCTCGATGGACCGATGGTCTGATTCAGTAGAAGGCGGCTTCATGTGTGTTCTACACGATGAAACATTCTTCTCCCATGTGTTTCAAACCCTGAATAGTCTGGGGCCAGGATATCCCAGGGAGTGCCCTTTTCCTGTATAATTCCCCTGCCCAAAAATGTATATTTGAGGGGCCACAACAGAAAAGACTTCGCCGTAGGGAGCAGGGTCTTTTCTGTTGTGGTACCTTCCCATTCCCACTAGAGTTCTGTATTCCAGGATGCCCCCAGCCCACTCCAGTAGCCAAGGTGAAATTCTCCGGAAGGGGGCCAAAATGGTCTTCCTCTGCACTGTGCATAGGATCCGGGGTCTTGCAGTGCATTGTAGGAAGCACCTGGATGGCCCCAACCTAGCCCAATCTCATCCGATCCCAGGAGCCAAGGAGGGTCAGCCTTGGTTACTAGTTGGATGGGAGGTCGCCGAAGAAGCCCAGGGTTGCTACGCAGAGGCAGGCAATGGCAAACCACCTCTGAACGTCTCTTGCCATGGAAACCCTATGGGGTTGCCATGTTGGCTGCGACTTTACGACACTTTTCACCACCATCACCTGGGAGCATTGTGGACTAACCAAATGCTACACATTTGCGGGTGGGCGGTTGTAATGTTTTATTGTTCTGTATTATCTTTTGATGCTGGTGCTTAATGGGTTGGTTTGATTTGAGCGAGTGGTTTTGCATCTGTTGTTTTTTAGTTTTTTGTAGTATTTTAGTTTTGCTCGCTCCCTCAGGGCCCTTTTCAGATCAAAAGGTGGGATACAAATGAGAAATAAAACATATGACATGAAAATTCAGCAGATCTTATTGCAGCCTTGACCGAGTCCCATTGTCTTTGAAAATCTGAGGTGGATACAATTGTCCACTTTTCTCTCATTGTGAACTGAGCCTGCCATTGCCCTGAAGAAAATAAAGTCTGAGAGCTTGAGAGAAATGGTAGAAAAGATATCGCTTAGCCTTGCTTACTATTGTTTCAGTTCAGCTATATTCTTGAGACAGACACCCTGGTAAAATAGCTTCATTTGGGTCGAGGGGGGCGGGTTGTCCCTGAGAAATGGTGGCTTCTGGTGCAACAGGAAGCATGAGTGCATTTGTGCTTTCTGTATTTCTGGAAATGGATTCCTGCGAGGGCCATCAGTTCCCATTTGGGAGACTCCTGGAGATTTGAGAGTGGTATCCAGGAGGATTAGGGTCGCCCTTCCCCCGATGGGGGAGGGGGTTTACCCACTTTCGGGGGGGCCGATTTAGCCGGTGGGGGGAACCCTGCCCCCCAAAACCCCATCCGCGCCAATGTGCTCGGTGCAATGACGTCACCCGGAGGTGACGTCATCACGCAGGGCACGTTGTAGGGGGGGAGGCTCTGTTGTTTGAGAAAAAACTCTGTGGTTACTGTAGAGTTGTTCCTCAAATGATAGAGCACCCCTGCAACATAAGAACATAAGAACATAGGAGACGCCAATGTTGGATCAGGCCAAAGGCCCATCCAGTCCAACACTCTGTATCACACAGTGGCCAGAAATACCAGTGCCAAGCCAGGTAAGACTTGGCAACCCTAGGGAGGACGGAGTTTGGGGAGGGGAGGGAGGTCAGCAGAAATGTGATACCCTAAGGGCCCACCCTCCAAAGCTGCCATTTCCTCCAGGTGCAACTGACCTCTATAGTCCCCTCCAAAGCTGCCATTCCCTCCAGGTGCAACTGAAGGTCAGCTATAATTCTTGGGAGAATTCTAGGCCCAACCCTGAGTCGGTAGCCCCTGTTCTCACGTATCTCAACCGTGGAGAAATGTATGAAAATCCAGATGTGTGGAAGGACACGTGCATTTCTTCGCAGGAGAAATGCACAGCCTCTACTTTCCATACTGCCCATTAGCCTGAAAACAGGAAGTGCCATCTCCCTTCCTGTTGCCCTTGCTTTTTGAACAACCCAAGCCTCTTGCGGTCAGGGGAAAGTGAATAAGATGAGCACACTTCTCTCCCCCCCCCCCCCCCCCGTTTCAGTGACGGAACTCCTGGTACCCAGAGCGTGACAGAAAAGTTTGAAGTGAACTGGGAGAGTGTCATGGTCAGCTCCCACGACACGATCGTGATGAAGTTCGATGGCCGTGGGAGCGGATTTCAAGGGACCAAGCTGTTGCACGACGTTAAAAGGAAGCTGGGCGTTTTCGAAGAAAAGGACCAAAAGGAAGCTGTCAGGTGAATGGCTTAGTAGACCTTTGGGAAGTTTGTCTGTAATTGTGTTATTAATATGATCTTTGGGCCATAATTTGTCCCTAAGCACCATGGGAGCCCTGTAAGGTAACCTGGGTAAGACCCCCCAGTCCGAAGCTCCATTTCCACTTTCCTTTTGGTACGAGAGCATCTCTTGCCAAGTTAGAACTGGACAGGCCCTTAATACCCATGAGCAGCTAGATTTAAAGGCAAATGTTTCCTTTGAACAACTCCGGTCTGTTTTGTTTCCTTTTCTTAGACTAATGACGCAAGACTCATGTGTTGATAAGACAAAAGTCGCCGTGTTTGGAAAGGTGAGTGCGGTTCTTTACCTTTCAAGGGCTGGCTTGCTTAAGAACTAGTCTCACAACTTGATTTATGTCGCATGTCTGATGCTTAAGGTAGCCGTCCTTAGAACAACCGACTGTTGCCTTGGAGGTTGGGGGGGGGATAATCAAGCCATTCCATCCACATTTCTTTGCAAATCCTGTCTTGAATTAGGAAAGTGACAGCCATCGCTGAGAAAATGTTGTAGTATAGTGAATCTTTTTTTTAAAAAAAAAATAATTTTCGAATCAACATAGGGTTGCCAGCCTCCAGGTGGGGCCTGGGGATCTCCCGCTTTTACCACTGATCCCCAGCCGACAGAGATCAGCTCCCCTGGAGAAAATGGCTGCTTTGAAGGGTGGACTCTATGGCATTGTACTATGCTGAGGCCCCTCCCCTCCCCAAACCCCACCCTCTCCTGGCTCCACCCCCAAAGTCTCCAGGTATTTTCCAACCCAGACTTGGCAACCCTAAATCAACACACAGCTAATACTTCTCGTTCAAGGCCTGCTGAATTGTGACAGGAGCTGATGCAGACGTCTGAAAGTGCTGTTGATTTTCCTGGCAGGGGATGGAAGAGCAATTTGCAAAAGAACTCGCGGCTTAATTTTAAGCAAGGTGTTCTTAGGGAAGGATCAAGGTGTATCTGAGGGTTGCAAGGAAGCCGGTTCAGGTCATTAGAGCGCCCTGGTTATATATCAGGTCTGTATTATACAGATTAATTCATTAAGGGTGTCTCCGGGAATGGATGATGAAGGCTTAGCAAAAGATCTGGGGCGTTAATGCCTTTGAATGCCCTTCTTAGCAGTGAAGCAGACCAGCAGAAACCTCCGAGTGATAGATCTGTTTCTCGGCTGAAGCATATCAGATGCGGTGTGTGTGTGTGTGTGTGTACGGGGGACAGGGTTGTTCCCACCATCAAATACTCCCAGCACATGAAAAACTGTTGTCTTAGAGGAAAGGTTCACTTAGAATCGCGTGTCAGTGTTAATTTTATTTATGTAAGGCATTCTAAGGACTCTTTCCTGGCCGTAAGCCCTCTTGAGTAGACTACTGTGGGATTCTTTTTGAGAAGACCTGCTGAGGATTTCTCACACATGTGAACACGCAGGTTGGAACTGGAAAGTGGGATTTGCTAATACATGTGTTGGTGTGACCAGCTAACGATTTGGGAGTACATTATTAAGCGACACACAGATGGTGAAAAGCAGGGATCCCCAATGTGTGAGAGGGAGAAGAAGAAGAAGAGGAAGAAGGAGGAGGAGGAGATTGTATTTATACCCCACCCTTCACTCAGAGTCTCAGAGCGGCTTACAAACTCCCTTCCTCTCCCCACAACAGACACCCTGTGAGCACTGTTACCTCTAAGCTGAGTTAGTGTGAGCTAGCTCACAGTTTTTTAGCTTCCGGCTGACACATTTTTGTCTTCGCTCAGGAAGGGATAGCTCCAGAGCAAACTAATTTATGCAGTAGCCAAATCGCTCGCTCACAACTTTAATGCCAGGAGCTCACAAAGTAGAATTTTTGCTCACAAGACTCCACAGTTGCCTGTGAGGTAGGCGGGGCTGAGAGAGTTCTGGCAGAAACTGCTCTTTTTCAAGAACAGCTCTGACAGAACTATGGCTTGCCCAAGGTCATCCAGCAGCTGCGAGTGGAGGAGTAGTGGGGAGTCAAACCCGGTTCTCCCAGATTAGAGTCCGCGCTCCTAACCACTACACCAAACTGTGGTGCCCGTGGGGGCCACAGCACCTGCCGACACTTTTCCTGATGCCCACTCAGTGTTTTAAGAAAGCGAGGCGGGCCAGGTGGGGCTTTTGCCCAGCAAGTCTTTCTGATTGCCCATTGGAAATTTGATTGACTGTGCAGGTTTTTAAAAGCATGGCCTTGGCGGCAGCTGCCACCACAGTGTAATGCTCTTCACTGTGTGACTGAAGGTAAGCTGTGGCAGCCATTTTGTGGCTGGTTGAGCCTCCTATGGCAGCCAATTTTTTGGGACCCCTGGTCAAAAGTATATGGTCAGGAATGCACTGGGGTGGGGGGGGAGTCTGTATGGGTCATTTCTCCAGCCTGGAGCAAATGGCAAAACATTCCTGTCGTCCACGGGTGAAATCGGCTGCAACGGTGAGGCGCAGCTTAGTTGGCTTCACAGGCTTTGCAGTCAGTCAACTTTGTCTCCAGGCCGAGTTGCGCTTAAGAATCTGACCAGTGGAGCAGCAGGTGCACGTTGGAGAGCCAAGCATGTTGCAGGGCATGAGTAGAGCTTGGGCTCAATGCTCCCTCCAAGCTGTGGAGACTCGTGAGCAAAAATTCTACTTTCTGAACTCCTGGCATTAAAGCTGTGAGCGAGCCATTTGGCTACTGCATAAATCAGATTACTCTGGAGCCATCCTTCCTGAGCTCAGACAAAAAGGTGTGAGCCAGAGGCGAAAGAACTGAACTACCTCACGCCAACTCGGCTTAGAGGGAACACTGCTTGGGATGCCCTCCGCTAGGAGAACGTCAGTGTGGGGTTGGAGCTGTAGACCAGGCATCCCCAACCTTCTTAAGGCCATGGGCCCTTTTGGAATTCTAACATCGTATGGTGGGTGCAGCAGGCACAGAAAGGCTGCCACAAAATGGTTGCCGCAGGAGGCGGGGCCAACTACAAAATGGCCGCCACAGCTTACCTCAACTCACACCGTGAAGATCCTTGTGCTGCGGTGGCAGTTGCTACCAAAGCAGTGTTTTTTAAAATCCTCATGGCCAATCGAATCTCCAGTGGCAAAAGCCACACCTGGCCCCATCCATTTTTAATGGCACCAGGAACGGCGTCAGTGGATACCACGGTGCCCATGGGCCCCACCTTGGAGACCCCTGCCTTAGATCGTGCAAATTAAACAATCCCTTCAATCCTCCCCTGCCCCCAATCTGCCCATTGCAGTTTGCTGATTCTTTCTGCCTCCGCTTTTGAGACTTTGAGGTCATTCCGGACTCGGCTCTGTTAAAAGTGCATTAAAGGTGAACTGACCGTGTTGCTCCCTCCCCCTTGCTTCTCAGGACTACGGTGGCTACCTGAGTGCTTACATCCTCCTCTCTGGAGAGGAGAACAAAGAGCAGCTCTTCATGTGCGGCGCGGCTCTTTCCCCGCTGACGGACTTCAAGTTGTATGGTAAGAACCAGTCCCACCAGGCCAAGGGAGGTCACGGGGTCTGCGTTCTCCGGCTCAGGGACTGCACTCTGCAGGGGGGATTGCCGTGGGGCTCTGCCGTAGCCCCTTCCAGTGCTGGATCCGCTCACGCTGCTCCCTCGCTTTCAAAACAGCATGGCTGTCCTGTTGGCAAAGCAACCAAAATGGGGGCCAGACTTCCACAAAACAGAATGGATGCTGTGAAAGATTGGTTTCAGGAGGGTAGTGGCATTATGGAAGCTGCGTTGGCTCAAGTGGTTAAGACGCTGAACTGCAGGCTGCGGAAGGTCGGTAGTTCAGCAGTTCGAGACCTGAGTGTGCCGCATGACAGAGTGAGCTTCCATCTTTATTTCCAGCTCCTGCCAACCTAGCAGTTCGAAAGGAAGAAATTGCAAGTAGATAAATAGGTACAATTTCAGTGGGAAGGTAACAGCGTTCCGTGTGCCTTGGTGTTTAGTCATGCCGGCCACATGACCACGGAAAACGTCTTCGGACAGCACTGGCTCTTTGGCTTTGAAACGGAGATGAGCACCGCAACCCTAGAGTCGGATTCGACTGGCTTTCGAGCAAGGGAACCTTTACCTTTACTAGTGGCATTGGTCTGCAGCAGAAGAATTGAGTCCAGTAGCACCTTAGAGATTGACAAAATAGGGGTGGGTGGGTTTTTGAGCTTTCGACAGTCTTCCAAACAGAAATTTGATTCTTGGAAGTTTACACCCTGAAATTTTGTTGGTCTCTAAGATGCTATTGCACTCCATTCTAGCTCTTGTGAGACCCGGAGGAATACATTTTCCTGCACTTTTTGAAGAGAAGCAATCAGCATTGATTCCTCTGCTTCCCAGGCAGAAGTAGAGCAGGGCGGGAAGGGGTGGACATGGCAGGGGCAAGACAGAGATGGGGAAGGCGATCGTGGAGGAGACCGGCAGGTGGGACAGGAGGCTGGCTGGTGACTGGCATGGGGGGGGGAATGTTGCCACCTTCTCAAACTCCACTGCCTGAGGCAAACGCCTCATTTGGTCTACAGGCAGCTCTGTCAGCTACTATGCTGCCCTTCTAGCCCTTAGAGGAGGAACTTGGAAGTCTCTGGGTGGTGGTAGTGGAGGAGGAGGAAGAGGAGGAAAGTACCATCATGTTGTAGCCGGCTTATGGTGACCCAATAGGGTTTTCAAGGCAAAAGACATTCAGAGGTGGTTTGCCATTGCCTACCTCTGTGTGGCAACCCTGGGTTTCTTTGATGACCTCCCATCCAACCCTGGGCTTCTCTGATGACTTCTCATCTTTGGTGAACTCCCGTCCTCTGTGTAGCAACCCTGGGCTTCTTTGGTGACCTCCCATCTTTGGTGAACTCCCGTCCTCTGTGTAGCAACCCTGGGCTTCTTTGGTGACCTCCCATCTTTGGTGAACTCCCGTCCTCTGTGTAGCAACCCTGGGCTTCTTTGGTGACCTCCCATCTTTGGTGAACTCCCGTCCTCTGTGTAGCAACCCTGGGCTTCTTTGGTGACCTCCCATCTTTGGTGAACTCCCGTCCTCTGTGTAGCAACCCTGGGCTTCTTTGGTGACCTCCCATCTTTGGTGAACTCCCGTCCTCTGTGTAGCAACCCTGGGCTTCTTTGGTGACCTCCCATCTTTGGTGAACTCCCGTCCTCTGTGTAGCAACCCTGGGCTTCTTTGGTGACCTCCCATCTTTGGTGAACTCCCGTCCTCTGTGTAGCAACCCTGGGCTTCTTTGGTGACCTCCCATCTTTGGTGAACTCCCGTCCTCTGTGTAGCAACCCTGGGCTTCTTTGGTGACCTCCCATCTTTGGTGAACTCCCGTCCTCTGTGTAGCAACCCTGGGCTTCTTTGGTGACCTCCCATCTTTGGTGAACTCCCGTCCTCTGTGTAGCAACCCTGGGCTTCTTTGGTGACCTCCCATCTTTGGTGAACTCCCGTCCTCTGTGTAGCAACCCTGGGCTTCTTTGGTGACCTCCCATCTTTGGTGAACTCCCGTCCTCTGTGTAGCAACCCTGGGCTTCTTTGGTGACCTCCCATCTTTGGTGAACTCCCGTCCTCTGTGTAGCAACCCTGGGCTTCTTTGGTGACCTCCCATCTTTGGTGAACTCCCGTCCTCTGTGTAGCAACCCTGGGCTTCTTTGGTGACCTCCCATCTTTGGTGAACTCCCGTCCTCTGTGTAGCAACCCTGGGCTTCTTTGGTGACCTCCCATCTTTGGTGAACTCCCGTCCTCTGTGTAGCAACCCTGGGCTTCTTTGGTGACCTCCCATCTTTGGTGAACTCCCGTCCTCTGTGTAGCAACCCTGGGCTTCTTTGGTGACCTCCCATCTTTGGTGAACTCCCGTCCTCTGTGTAGCAACCCTGGGCTTCTTTGGTGACCTCCCATCTTTGGTGAACTCCCGTCCTCTGTGTAGCAACCCTGGGCTTCTTTGGTGACCTCCCATCTTTGGTGAACTCCCGTCCTCTGTGTAGCAACCCTGGGCTTCTTTGGTGACCTCCCATCTTTGGTGAACTCCCGTCCTCTGTGTAGCAACCCTGGGCTTCTTTGGTGACCTCCCATCTTTGGTGAACTCCCGTCCTCTGTGTAGCAACCCTGGGCTTCTTTGGTGACCTCCCATCTTTGGTGAACTCCCGTCCTCTGTGTAGCAACCCTGGGCTTCTTTGGTGACCTCCCATCTTTGGTGAACTCCCGTCCTCTGTGTAGCAACCCTGGGCTTCTTTGGTGACCTCCCATCTTTGGTGAACTCCCGTCCTCTGTGTAGCAACCCTGGGCTTCTTTGGTGACCTCCCGTCCAATCCTGCTTAGCATCCAGGATCTGACGAGACTGGGCTACCTACCCTGGTTCCATCGAGGTCAGGGCAATGGCTTTGAAATTTCAGAAGGTGGGGAAAGGGCTGAGCAGTATATCCTTTGGCCAGAGGAGGCCATTGTCATGCTCGGAATAATCTCTTTGCTCTCCAAGTGAAAAGTAAGCAAAGCAGAAGCCAATTCAGCAAATATATGCAAATAGTATTTATTTGCATAACGGTGTGCCAGTCCAGCCATTTTCAATCACTCCCAGTGCATACAGAACATGTGCTAAATTAAAATGCGGTGTTTCAGATTGCTTTATCTTTGGATTCAGGTTTCCTGTGATGAAAAGCTGAACGTAGTTCAAAACATTCCAGATTTTCGTTATCTTCTGTTATAACTTTGCTGCTGCATCCATTGCTGACAGTGTCTTCCCACTGTGTTGGTTTGGGTGGTCGCCTTCTGGCTGGACTAGCAATTTCTTCTGACCCTGATGCATTTCCTGTTTGGGGTGGGGGGTGCAGAATGCCTGGACGGGTGAGTCCAGGCCCAAAAGAAATGCACTCCGGTTTACGCTGAGTGCCTGAGAGATTTGCTGTCAGCTTCCTAACAACTAGCCAATCTCTCTCTCTCTCCCTCTCCCCCCCACCACAAGCTACCTCTCTCTCTCTTTCAGCTTCAGCCTTCTCGGAAAGATACTTGGGATTACTAGGGATTGATAATAAAGCATATGAGGTAAGGGCATTGAAAGCACAGCCAGCCGTAACAGCCTCTGTCCCTAGCACAAACGCAAGATGTGGTTTAAGAGCAGAAAATGTGGCTAGCAGGAGAAGATGGGATTTTTAAAGGCTCCACTGTATATTTTAAAAAAAAAAACCCTGCAGTTTGGCAAGGTTGGCTGCCTTTGGGTAACACGACAAGAGAGCGATGCAGTTCTCTTGACCCTCCGACCTAAAGAGTCTGACCCCATTGATGTCACCTGGTGCAACTTTGTTACCTGTAAGACGCAAACATTCATATCCTAATGACATCGGGGCGCATCAGGCAGAAAGGTTTCGTGCCTTGTTAAAGGCTATGGCCCAAGCCTGAGAAGTTTCTGAAACTTATTTTGTCAATAGATTTCTTTCCAAAGAGGAAAAATAGTAAATGTGGAATCCCCCTGGTTATGGATCTGTTCCAGGAGTCTAAGACCCCATCTCTTTTTTGGTACTTTGTACCTCTCACGTCCTGCCTGCCCTCTGTCAGTGCTTCTTTGAACATCCAGACCCACCCTTAGACATCAAGGAGGCCGTGGCTCAGTTGGTAGAGCACCTGCTGGGCATGTGGAAAGTCCCAGGTTCAATCCCCGGCATCACCAGTTTAAAGGCGCAGGTGATAGATGCTGGAGAGCCACCACCAATCTGAATAGACAATACCGGCCTTGATGGAACAAAGGTCTGATTCGGTACAAGGTGTTGTAAAATAGTCAAAAGTGTATAATACTCAGCCTATCAATGGATCTTGCTCTATTGGAAAGAAGAGATTTCTTTGCTTTTAGAAACCTTTATTTCTAAGGGTAAAAGGTACACGGGATAACTACAAATAAACATAACACTAGCAGCTACATTTTCTAAGCTGTCTATAGTCAACACTAACACAGAGATAATGGAGAATCTGTCCTTCTTCTCGACCCCTAGAAAGGAAGTCACCTGAAACAACCAATCTGTATCACAATAGAAGCTACTTTTCCCGGGCTAATTCCCCATTGGCTTACTGCCAGGTATCTCTTCCGGGTCAGTCTAAACAATAGCAATACTAGGCAAACAAGTTAACCCTATAATGACTGAATTGTCAGACCTTGTAAACACATGCATTTCCAACACAAGGCAGCTTCTTGCGTTCACTGAAGACCAATGAAAGACTCACTGGCGTCTGTGCATCCAAACATTGCCACTCACCTGCCTTTCCCTCTTCTCAGATTACCAAACTCTCCCACAGAGTCATGTCAACGAAAGACCAAAAGTTTTTGATCATCCACGCGACTGCCGACGGTAAGTTCCCAACCTGTTGCCGCTCAGCACTTTTCGCATGTCTAAAAATCCATTTTTTTATTTCCCCCCCCACACCCCCCTGTACTCTTTGACACTTACTGATTTTAATCTGGTTTTACAGAGAAAATCCACTTCCAGCACACGGCTGACCTCATTACTCACCTAATTAAGGCAAAGGCTAATTACAGCTTGCAGGTAAAGTATTCTGTAATTGCGGCTTGTATCCCTACCCGGGTGATCATGGGAATTCAGAGGTGATGGAGCAAGTGCAGGGATCATAAACCTGTGCGGTTCAGTAGAAATACCAGGCGGGTCATCTGAGGTTTCACATATTCCCCACTGCTTTGACTCCTGGTGATTAGCAGTAATCTATAAACATATTTCCTTACGATGCTGCAGATGTGTAGCATCATCTCGGAAACACGGAGGCTGAGAATGGCAAGCAGCAGAAAAAGCAGAAACGGTTATACCAGGAGGGGAGGAGCCAGGAGCTTGATGGACCAATCAGAGAAGCTCAGTAGCCGTGACCTATCCACGGGTTGCTTCTAAGAGTTAGCCTGGGAAGGATTCGGAGCTGCAAATTCCACAGTTACCGCAGACAGTTATAGCAGATGACGAACCAGGGGTGAGGAAGGGAAACCTCCCCTGCTCTGATCTCCCCTTCCAGGATATTAAAAACTCAAAAACTTGAGCAGGCCAGTTTACACTTCTGTTACCCCCTCACACACATTCTTTTAACTGATGCTCACACTAATTTTGAATGTATTTCTGGGCACCATTCTAAGTGCTTCTAAAGTCAGAAGAAGAGGAGGAGGAGGAGGAGATTGGATTTATATCCTGCCCTTCACTACTCGAAGGAGTCTCAGAGCAGCTTACAATCTCCTTTCCATTTCCCTCCCCACAGCAGACACCCTGTGGGTGCAGTCAGACAGTGTGCTGGGAGCGGTTTAAATTGCTCCGGTCCCAATGCGTGTTTCTTTTAACCTGGAGAACTGCAATCATGCTCACTTCCTTGTTCCGAATCTCACCTGGAGAATTGCAATCACACTCACCTCTTTGTCCTGGATCATTGCACAGCCACATCGCTCCCCACCATCCACATGCAAGAGCATGCATCTGTGTGGGGTTTTTTCTTCTCAGTTTGGTCATGAGGCATGCGCACAGGCGGCCATCTGTAGAGTGAAAATTTTCGCGCATGCGCAGAACAACAATTTCCACTTCAACCCAACTGCTGTAACACTTCCCTTTAAACTTTAAAGGAACACATCCCTTCAAACCTCTACCCCAAAACTGGCCTCTGTGAGATCCCGAACTCGTCTAACCAACAAAACTAGGCACCATTTAAACATTTTTTTAATAACGCGGGTGCGGAGCTCCGCCTGTGTGCATACCGCCGACGCTAAAATAAAATGGTGGGCGAAGAGCGGAAGCCTCGGGCTTCCGAGCGGAAGTGGCTCGACAACACAGGAGCGATCAGAGGTCAGAAAAGTGCGGCTAGAAATGGAGAATCAGAAAAACACCGCTTGGGGACCTGGTAACAAAATACTCCGTTTTAAAGGGGGTTTGAGCCGGAAAGCAACGGCTGGGGACCAGCGTTCCCGCTAAGCTGAGTTAGTGTGAGCTGGCTCCGCTCAGGAAGGATGGCTCCAGAGCAAACTAATTTATGCAGCAGCCAAATCTCTCGCTCACAACTTTAATGCCAGTAGCTCACAAAGTAGAATTTTTGCTCACAAGACCCCACAGCTTAGAGGGAGCATTGCTGGGGACGGTGCGCAGATGTTGGGTGTGTGAACATGAATATAAAATCCATTACTGAAGTGTGCCGAAAGTGGACTAAGCGGCTCATCTGAAAGCATCCTGTGAGGTAGGTGGGGCTGAGAGAGCTCTTTCGAGGACTGCTCGTGAGAGAACAGCTCTGAGAGAACTTGTGGCTGACCCAAGGTCACACCAGCAACTGCACGTGGAGGAGTAGGGACCAGTGTTCCCTCTAAGCTGAGTTAATGTGAGCTAGCTCACAGTTTTTTAGTCTCCAGCTCACAGATTTTTGTCTTCGCTCAGGAGGGATGGCTCCAGAGCAAACTAATTAATGCAGTAGATAAATTGCTTGCTCACAAAGTAGATTTTTTGCTCAAGAGACTCCACAGCATAGAAGATGCATTGGTGGGGACCAGCATACTTGCCTATCCCTTCTCTGTTAATTCAGATTAGTGTCCCAAGCCGTACTACAAGCCCCCCCCCTTCTGAAATTTACATCCACCAGCTTTTCCCATGGCAGTGCTTCAATCATATGGTGTCCTTTCCACCAAATTTCTCCTGGCCCTTAAATAACAGATGAAAGCTCTTTTATTTGTTTGGGCTTTTCATTCTTTTAAACTACCCTCTGATGAGTTTTGGGGGGGCTCTTTATAAAACAGGAGGAAGATTTTATTACCGCCTCTCCCATTGTTTTATATAATTAGCTTTAATTCCTGCTTTTGTGCTGCTTTTGTCCGTGGTGTTTCAACATGATTTTTATGTCTCTGTTGCCTCAGTGACTGTTTTTGTTATTTTCATGGTTTTATTGATTTTCGTAGGCTTTTTGCCATAAGCTGCTTAAGGCTTACTGTAAGCAGTGAAGTAATAGATCAATGGAGCTGCGGTGGCTCAAGTGGTTAAGACGCTGAACTGCAGGCTGTGGAAGGTCAGTAGTTCAGCAGTTCGAGACCCGGGTGCCGCATGATGGAGTGAGCTCCCATCTCTAGTTCCAGCTCCTGCCAACCTAGCAGTTCGGAAGCAAGAAATTGCAAGTAGATAAATAGGTACCACTTCAGTGGGAAGGTAACAGTGTTCCATGTGCCTTGGTGTTTAGTCATGCTGGCCACATGACCACGGAAACGTCTTCGGACAGCGCTGGCTCTTCGGCTTGGAAACGGAGATGAGCACCGCAACCCTAGAGTCAGACTCGACTAGCTTTCGAGCAAGGGAACCTTTACCTTTACCTTTAATAGATCAATGCTCTGCCGCTCTCAGCATTCCAACAACAAGGAGACCAGGGTAGTCGGGGAGGGGTGGTTTTTGTGGGGGGAAGGGCAGGCTCAGTCTTCTTTTTTTAAGAAAAATATTACATCACAGGGAGTCTCCTGAGCCTTCAGGCCCCCCAAACCGTGTCTGCATCAAAGCCCCTTTGGTGGCATTTCTGACAGGTACTTGGGCATGAAGATGGCCGCTAGTGGGACAAGATGGGAAATAACAAGGGGGATAGATCGTTTTTACATGCCTAGCTTCTGTCTCCAGATTAGCCCTAAAGAAAGACTGAAATGGGATGGTTGGGATGACCCATTCAGTGTGTGTGTGTAAAGTGCCATCAAGTTGCTGTGGACTCCTGGTGACCCCACAAAAGACGAAGAAGAGAAGAGATTGGATTTCTACCCCGCCCTTCACTACCCTGTGAGGTGTGTGGGGCTGAGAGAGCTCTTTTGAGAACTGCTCCTGAGAGAACAGCTCTGAGAGAACTTGTGACTGACCCAAGGTCACACCAGCAGCTGCATGTGGAGGAGCGGGGAATCCAACCTGGTTCTCCCAGATTAGAGTCCACGACACCAAACTGGCTCTCAGGGTTTTCAAGGCAAGAGACAAAGAGAGGTGGTTTGCCACCACCTGCCTCTGGACCTTCTTGGTGGCCTCCCGCCCAAATACTGACCAGGGCCGACCCTGCTTAGCTTCTGAGACCTGACGTGATTGGGCTAGCCTGAGCCATTTGGGTCAGGGCGACCCATTTTGTGATGGGGGGTGGAAAGCAGTGTTCCCTCTAAGCTGAGTTAGTGTGAGCTAGCTCACAGTTTTTTAGCCTCCAGCTCACACATTGTTTGTCTTAGCTCAGGAAGGAGGGCTCCAGAGCAAACGAATTGATGCAGCAACCAAATCGCTCGCTCACAACTTTAATGCCAGCAGCTCACAAAGTAGAATTTTTGCTCACCGGACTCCACAGCTTAGAGGGAGCATGGGTGGAAAGTGCCGCCAAGTCACAGCTAACTAGCGGGGTTTCCAAGGCAAGCAGTGGTTTGCCATTGCCTGCTTCTGCGTCATGACCCTGGTATTCCTTGGAGGTCTCTCATCCAAGTACCAGCCTGGGCTGGCCCTGCTGAGCTTCTGCAATTGGACAAGATCGGGTTAGCCTGGGCCGTCCCGGTCAGGGCAGACCCATTTAGTAGCCTTCCCGTCTATAGCAACTGCAGGCGAGTACGTCAGCAGAGGGCTCCTGATGCTCCTGCCCTGATGCTGAGGTGGGAGGGGGCTTTGCCTGCGCTGGCTGGATCAGGTGTCTTCCAAAAGTGGGCTAACGGCCTGAAATGTTGGTTCACGTTCCGGCCGGACGTAAGTCACCCTCTCCTTCCTTCTTTTCCAGATCTACCCGGACGAGGGCCATTACTTCAATTCCGCCCTGGAGCAGCACTTGTACAAGTCCGTCATCAACTTCTTTGCGGATTGTTTCAAAGTCCAGGACAAAACCCCAGTAGTTTCAACAAAAGATGACGAGGATGAGGATTAACCCTTTGGGGCTTGTGCTCGGGAAGCACAAGGCCGTTTGTCATAAGAATTATGCAACTGAATCTCTGGTTTTGGGGTCTTTTTTCCTCTTCCCGGAGAAAGGAGCGTTACGTGAGCATGCCTTTCCCGAAACTGAAAAGCGAAAGCAGCTCACCTGCTTTCTGCCGGATCATGACTCCTTCCCAAGCGGAAGAACATTTAAGCATGAGGAACTCAGCAGAAACTGCTGTTCAAGAAACAGAAACAAACAAACAAACAAAAAGGATCTTCATAACCTTTCTTGCCACAAAGTGACTTCTGGAGTAAGATGCTCGATCAGGAAACTGGACTCAGAAGCGACGACCCCAAGAATTGCTAGATGACTATTTTAAAAAAGGCCCTTTTGTGTTGGAAGGATTCAGACAGTAGCAGTGGAAACCCACCATCTGTTTGTAGTAGGAACCCCTTTAGTTAGCGCTTCATTGTTTCAGGTAAAACTACCAACCATGGAATAAAGATTATAGCACAATTATTTTACAAAGATACTGATTCATGTGTCGTTTGCCCCCATCGTCTTCTTGCAGCTCTTGCTACCACGCGACTCCTTTGAGCCGGGGATTCCTTTGTACAAAACACTGCTGTAGCGATCACTAACATATAATTAAGTTCATGTACTGTACAGGTTTCTGTATATAGTTTTTACCCGTTGCTCCCTTTTACTTCGGCCTTGTATGGATTCTTTAGCTTTGCGCTGTATTTTGGTAAGGAGGGGGGGGGGGAGGGACTGAACATAGCAAATGACGAGGTCGAGCGTTCTTGCTTTAGCTATCTTGGAGTGCTTCTAAAGCACCCAGCCGTGTTCCCCGTAGATTCTTTTAATGCATCGATTGTAATTTAGCTGCGTGAATTGGAATCATCCCTATCGACATCAATTGTCTTGTATTGTGCTTTTAAAAAGAAAGGACACCGGCCCTGTAATCGAGAGGGCAAAGAAATCGGTCTGGTGGCTTTTGCATCCCACGGTTCAGAACCCTCTCGGTTTTGACAGGATCCCAAGAACCATGATATTGTCATAGGTGAAGGGTCGGGTGGGGGAGACGTGAGCAGTGTCTCCTAAGGTTTTTGCTGCTGCGTAGAGTAAACGGGGGCGGTACTTCCTGTCTCATCCGTGCTGCATACATGGAATCGTCTCCCCCCCCCTTTATCCTTCCCTGACCTGCAGCCTCTGTCCGTTGTTACAATTCTAAAACTACACATTTTAGCCTTCGTGGTAATTTATGCATTTTGATCAGTGCTAACAAGACCGCTTAGCTGCATTATTGATTATTTCAGTGGCTGCAGTAAAACAGCTCGATTCGAGTCCGATAGCACTTTAGAGACCAAAAAAAAAGTTTGGGTTCAAGCTTTTGACAGTCAAAGCTCCGTTCATCTAATAGGAAGGGAGTGTTGATGCTCAAAAGGTGATACTCCGAATTTTTTTGGTTAGGGTTAGACTTTCCAGGTCCCCCCTGTCCGCCTGCAGGGGATGGGGGTTGCTGGTAAAATCTGAGTTTCAGGGCTGCAAATGCACATTCCTTTTTTTCCCTTTCTTCCTTCTTTTCCTGGAATTTTAAACCTAACCTGCTCTTTAATAGCCATCTTTCCCGATCCCGATCGCCCCAGGGAAAGTCAAACCTATCTGAAACTTGTCTGAACGCCTTTTGAATTCCTTCCAGTTTATACGTATCTTTTGTTGTTGTTGCTCCCATGGCTTCCTGTAAATTATTCTGACCAAATGTACAGCTAGTATGAATACTGTATAATTCATTTTGTTGTATATAAAAGGAATGTAAGTCTATGATTTGTCAAGTCCCCCCCAATCCAGTATTAAGTCTTGTGTTCAAGCATGCATGCGGTAACACTCGTTTGCTTATTAAGACCCCCCCCAGAGGTGTTCTCTTTAACTATATCAACACATGTGATTCCTTTTTGATTGTTTTGACAGCTTGAATGTCAACGCAGATTTCTACATTTTTACAGTGTGCTGTTGGTAAAAAAAAACTCCCATCCCAGGTAGCAAAGCAATGCTGATAATTTCCACAGTGCTCTTCATTTTGTGTCTCCATTTGTTTTTCAGTTCAGTCTGTTGACTGTTGGTGGTAATTAGATCATCGTGGGAGATAAACCAGTAATTCAAACACAAAGTTTGGGGGGGGGGAAGCAATCAAACCCTCGTTCCGTTGTTTGTTTGCTTATTATTTACTGTGCATCAGAATCTGTATGAGCAGGAGCTGCAAAAGGAGGCAGTCCTTCTTCAGCCAAATGCCCGCTAGACCACAGGAAAAAAAACGTGTCCACGTTTCGATGCTCTTACGGGCTTGTAAGCCCGCCCTGAACTCGCTCAGAGGAGCCCACCGCCTTCTCTGCCTGTAACATTTTGTGGAGGGGAAAAGCCGGGGTGTGGCATGGCAGCGTTTGTTCATCCATAAAGAAATAAAGCGTTATTTTACCACCCAGGTTACTGTGGTTATTTTTTTCGTGAAATAGCAAGGTGACCTTTGCAGGTGGCCACTTAATCCAATCTTTAGTGTCTGCCTGGATTGTGCTGTGAGCCTGAATATATGAGCAGTGGGTCAAATGTAAACTCGGAGAGCTGCTCAGACTGTGTTGCATTCGATGTGTTCCCAAATCCCACATGATGAGCCGGAAGAGCTGGATTCTGCACTTATAAACATACAACTGGAAGGGATTCCGAAGGGTCATCTAGTCCAACGCCCTGCACAGTGCAGGAAGTTCACAGCTGCCTACCTGCTCGACTACCCCAGTGAGCCCTACTCTATACCTGAGGAAGGCAAAACGCCAGAGACAACACTCGTGGCCCGCCGGAAGAGGAGAGAATGCGCTGCCAACAGGGTGTCGGTAGGAAGTCCCTCCCCTTGTGAATGTGGCCCTAGGTATGTTTAATCACTACTATATATTAGTAGTATTCTGTAAACCGCTCTGAAACCCATTAGGGGTCATGGGCGGTATATAAATCTCATGTAAATAAATAAATAAATAAATTCCCAGGCTCCCTGGGCCAATCGTGTCTGGAGGAAAAGTCCTTCCTGATCCCAGAGTGGCAATCAGCATTCCCCTGGCGCAGATAAGAAAGGCCCACAAGAGCGGAACTCTGGGACATCCCTTCCTGCCCCTCCCTCTCGTGATCTGCCTAAACTCACAGAATCAGCATGGCTGTCAGCCTCTGCTTGAAAACCTCCAAAGAAGGCGAGCCAGGCATCTCCTGAGGAAGCGTACTTCTGTGCTGACCATGTGGGTCAGACTGTACAACAGTCCCTACCACCTGAGTTTGATTCTACAGCTACTAGGGGAGTGCACACAAAAAGAAATCAGCCTTTTTTCGGATTTGGGTGTAATGGAAATTATCAGTATTTCCTGATATTCCTGAATTCCAAGACCAGTAGGGTATGCAGATTCAGGAATTTTTTTGAGAATCCTGAATGTTTTCAGCTCCATTATAGCCTATGGGGACCATTATAGTCAATGATCCCCATAGGGCAGTGGTGGCGAACCTATGGCACGGGTGCCAGAGGTGGCACTCAGAGCCCTCTCTGTGGGCACGTGTGCCATTGCCCCAGCCAGGCCCAGACCATCATTAAAGTGTCAAATTCTCTGCCAAATAATTTTAAGTAAATGAAAACATTTGGGATTGCTTTCCTTACTTTGTTTGGATCATCTTAAGTTAACATATGAGTTGTTTTTTCTAAAGTAAAACCTCAGTATTCGGGTTAAATTGCCGTGTTGGCACTTTGCAATAAATAAGTGGGTTTTGGGTCGCAGTTTGGGCACTCAGTCTCTAAAAGGTTCGCCATCACTGCCATAGGCAATGCTCCCTCCAAGCTGTGGAGTCTTGTGTGCGAAAATTCTACTTTGTGAGCTACTGGCATTAAAGTTGTGAGCGAGCGATTTGGCTCCTGCATAAATTAGTTTGCTCTGGAGCCATCCTTCCTTAGGGAAGACAAAAATGTGTGAGCCAGAGGCTAAAAAACTGTGAGCTAGCTCACACTAACTCAGCTTAGAGGGAACACTGGCCATAGGGTATAATGGGGAATCTACCTGGGGATCTGGGGTGTGTGCTTGTTTGCTTGTTTTTTTGAGGTAGAGGCACTAATTTTTCAGCATAGCTGCTGGTGCAACTCCTCAGAAGAACCCCCAAGTTTCAAAAAGATTGTACCAGGGGGTCCAATTCTATGGACCCCCAAAGAAGGTGTCCCCATCCTCCATTAGAACAGAACATAAGAGAAGCCAATGTTGGATCAGGCCAATGGCCCATCCAGTCCAACACTGTCACACAGTGGCCAAAACCCAGGTGTTATCAGGAGGTCCACCAGTGGAGCCAGAACTCCATAAACCCTCCCACTGTGGCCCCCCAAGCATCTCTGCCCCAGACATAGTGTTCCATCAGTACCTTGTGGCTAATAGCCACTGATGGACCTGTGCTCCATAAGTTTATACAACCCCTGTTGTTTCACATGGAGAGGGGGAAAGAGATTAAATGGCTTGTGTTCCCTTTAAATGCCTTCTTCAAGCTACTGGTTCACCCCAAAGGCATTTAAAGGGACTGTGATCCCTTTGAACACCCTTTAAGTGCAGCTATACGGCATTCCCAGATAATCCCTAATATTTGGGGGATTTTTCAGATCGGCTATATTGGATAGCCAAAACGATCCTGGGATGTATGTTTGGCTGAATAAATAGCCGAAAAATTCAAATAAGTTATTTTTTGGCTTGGATGTACCTGAATGCACACTCCTAACTCCCTGCCATGTGGGTCTGATTCTACAGCTGTGCATACCATGTGTGTCTGATTCTACAGTGGTTCCCTGCACCTAGTGCTAGTCAGATCATTGGCAAAGCACCAATGTGTTTGCGGGGTCGCAGATGCACCTCTCTGCCCCCACCAGAGAACCCACACTAACATCCCTTATCTGACCAACACTAAGTACATGCACAGCCCCTGCTGCTGGCTGCACATTTGTCATG